AATTATATACAATATATTATATATAAAATATGTTCATTTATATACAATTATATGAAATTGTATATAATTTTATATAAAACATTCTTTCCCGGGATAATATGTTTACAAAATCTCGATGTTCCTGCGCTAAAAAACGCTTTTAAATCACTTCTGAAGTGCAAGCGCTTTTAAAACGCTTTTCACACGTATAATCATTTTTTGATGTGACTTGAAATCTGCCGAGTTATTCATGTGCTTTGAAATCGCATAACTGACAGCAGTTTTGGGTGGTGCGATCTGAAGAACGCTTCGAAAGCGCTTTCCATGCGCTGCTGTGCTACGTGGGCAGAATTTCATCGTCATCTATCAACATAAATGATTATTAATGGTAAACGAACTATTGTTTTACTTACAAATCATAAAACTGTTATTTTAATTTTGCTTAAAATTATTATATTAAATTGGTGTTCCCATAATGTATTTGGTTCTAAGTAAAATCGCGTGTAATTTTCATTAACAATTTCAGAATATCATTATCTTACAGATAATAAAGATAAGTAAATACCAATAATTTAAAAATCTAATCGTTTTTAAATTTAAGACTTATCTAACAAATTTCAGCATATAGTATAATGGAATTCAACTGTTAGCGAGAGTTATTAAACGAATTCCTAAAAGAAATGGATTGCGAAGAATTGTGATAACGGGATCCACGAGGATCTCTACGAGATCGCATACAGTGCGCGAGCCTTTTCCTGCAATGTTTACGCCAATGATGTTGCAGCACAGATCCGCTTTAAGTGATTACTGTATTTCCATACGCGAGCAGAACGCTGAAGAACGGAAACAATGTATTCTCGGAACAAGCGGCTTGGATATCACGCATTGTGCTTCGGATATCGCGACGATTCGCTAAACAAAACGGCCATTGGTTCGCCACTCCTCTACTCTCCCCAACTACCCGGCGTATTTCCCATCGAGAATAGAAAGAGACGAGGTCCCTCTCGCATCCGTTTCTTCCGCTAACATTCCGTAAGGAACGAATGGCATTCGTTAATGCGCGGAAATAACAACGATGCGATACGTTATGATGTGATACGATGCGCTTTCATGATGGCGAATCACTGTGTATTGAAATTTAATTTAATTTAATTTAATTTAGTTTATTGTAAAGCTCTGAAAAAGATTACATGTTAACAAAGTAATAGACATAAACATAAAATATGATACAATAGACATATAGTAGCTTGCAAATGATTAGATATCAGCAAAACTGCTGTTACAAAGCCTATCAGCAACAAAAATCGAAACTAAAGCCTACGGCACACGATGCTTGTTTTCTTGCTGGTTTAGCTTATAGATAGTTGCGTGCTTCTTTGTGGTCTGCGTTGCGTACAGCTGTAATGGACATGTATCTTACGATACATATGCATAGAATTATAACATCATAAGTTTTTACAAGTTTTACTCTTTAAATTTTTTTGAAATTGAGCACGTCTTGGAAAAGAGAGTCACTCAATTTTCAATCTTTAAAAGTGGGACTTTACTCTTTAGAGTGAAAATTTATTTAGAGTGAATTTTCATTCTAAAGTTTTAAAAAGTACGAGAACAGGTTACAAGCCTTACGAATAATATTCTGCTTAGAATTGATCCATGTACTTTTGTTAACCATCCATTTTTTTCATTTATTTTCTTTCTGATACATGTTGCATTAGTTCCATGTTGAGAGAGAGAGAAAGAGAGAGAGAGATGCATAAAATATATTTGCTTTTTTGAAAATTAATACTGTTTTAAATATTAATACAATTTTAAAATACTATTTTAATTAACACTTGTCTTAAAATTAATACTGTCCTTCTCCAATACAGGCATTTTGCTAAGGCACAGCTCCTATTGTGTTAACTGTTAAATGTGCAAAAATGATCTTTAATTTCGATAGCTGTATTACTATAACGATTTCCACATTGCTGTGACATACTATTCAGATTTGATTGTATTGATTGGAAGTCTCACATGGTTCTGATGGTATACTCGTATACCAGTGCTCGCAAGGATTTGCACATTTCGGGCCGATTCCAGCGCTCCACCCCCATCACCGCTCGAGGCTCGGCGACCGGGCCGCTGAGCGCTCACATGACGCTCTGACTCAGGAGCATCTCTATACCAGAAATATACTGGGAGCGCACCTTCCGCCAAATTATTATTGAAACATGTTTTTTATTAAATAATTTATCTATTAACATGAAATTTTCTATTGTTAATTTATTCGTCGAATGAGCGTTCGGCGGCCCGGCCTAGCCTCGAGCGGTGGTGGAGGTCGCGCGCCGGAATCGGTCAGAAACGTACAAATCCTTGCGAGCACTGGTATATACCACTATATTTTTTTTCAATAAAAAGTTATATAAAACACAGCATGCGCGTACGTGATTAATTCAACTTTTTCCACTGCGAAAGTGAAATAACATTTAAGAGAATGTGAAATATATTTACCATGATGCCAAATCCATTTTCTGACATTCTACATGCTCTACTAAGTCTGTAGTTGAAAATCTTTTTTTCTACCGTAAGATTGCGTCCATATATTGTTTCATTATGTTTGTTTTAAAAGCATCATCTGCCACAATCACAAACGGTATATCGTACTAAGGCAAAGGAATTGATGGAGGCGAATTTAGTGCTCCAGAATTTAATGCTGCAGCCAAAGGATTTTCCTGAAATACTGATGCATCGTGCATGCGACCATTTCTTCCTATGTCCACAAATAAAAAAATATAGTCAGCACTTACAAGCCTAAAAAGAACGAGACAGTCTGTTCCTTTGTAATTTCTATATATAGAACTGTCCTTTCTTGGCGGTCGGAAATTAATATGCTTTCCATCCAAAGCACCTATGCAATACGGAAATTGACACAAAAGATTATATTTCTCTGCTATAGTTTGTCATTCCATTGGAATTGATGGACAATTGTGATAACTTTATTTCCTAAAACTTCAATAATAGCTTTTAATGTCTCAGGAATTAACTTCGATAATGTATTGGGAGCAATTCGTACTGAATATGCTAAATTTTGAAATGAATTGCCTGTAGTTAGATATCGCAATATAATGCATAATCTATTTCGAGGAGAGATAGCTTCTCTCATCACAGTATCTTGCTTTTCGATTAGAGGCATACGAGGTGTGGCTATTAAATAACGAGACTGACGCTGTAAAACATTTTATTTTGATTTCATACATATTTACTTATTATCACCTTCAATATGGTATATACCCCTCCTCTATCCCTACAACGCTCCATGCGAATCTTCCATTGTTTGAAACAGTGCTGGGAAGTCTTCTTCTGTCAGTTCCTTCAGGATGCGTGCCGCTTTCTCTTTCACAGCTTCAACCGACTCAAATCTTGTTCCTTTTAATGCAGATTTCACCTTAGGAAACAGATAGAAGTCGCATGATCCGGCGAATAAGGCGGATGGTCTAACACTGGGATGCTGTACTTGGCTAGAAACCTCTTGACAGACAATGCGGAATGAGACGGCGCATTGTCTTGGTGGAGAACCCATGACTTGTCTTTCCACAATTCGGGTCGTTTTTTCCTTATTTTTTCACGGAATTCAGCAAGAACGTGAAGGTAGTAATGTTGATTAATAGTTTGACCGATTGTTTTTCGATATTGTCATCCGTTTTTCACGTGGAAGGGCGACCCGGGCGTGAATCATCTTCACCGTCTTTTCGGCCATCTTGAAAACGCTTAAACCACTCAAAAACACGATAAACATTCATGGCCACTTGTTTCAATAAATTATAAGTTTCAGTAGCGGTTTTTCCAAGTTTCACGTGAAATTTCACAACAATTCGTTGCTCTATTGTTACACTTACCATTTTTCCGGCGAAACAAAAAAACAACTCTAATGCGAACGAAGGCTACGGCTATACGGATTTGTGTACAGAAGCGAGAGGTACTGCATTCGAAAGAGAAGGCTTCACGCTAAACAGTTGTCGGTCGCTGGCGTTTGGCGCATGCGTACTTCTTCTATAGCAGCGTCAGTCTCGTTATTTAATAGCCACACCTTGTATTGTGACAGAAGTAATTTACTCGATAGCTTTTGACGAGTAACTGACGAATTTATAGGAGAAAGTCAGAAATGTAAACAAACAAAAAAAGTTTTCATCTGAAAACGGAATTATTGTTTTCGTGCACGATTTCAGCGACGATAATACTTCAGAAGCAGTGTAGGAATGAAACAACTATGTTTTATCTTTTTTGCAATTTTCTCCAAAACGCGTAATTTGAGAGAATGAATATGTAATATATAAAGTCACACAGAATTATTTCAACGCTAAAGATACAGTTTAACCGTTTAGGGTTTTTAATTCCGATTCGTTGTGTAGTTGCATTATGGTCTTATAAGACACTTTGTATATTTTTTTAATATTCTTTTTTACACTATATACGTGTATGTTATACATCTATATTGTCTAATTCATTGAATTCTTAAATTTGCATACATAGATTTTTTCACAATTATACTAAATATTTTTTAATTATATTTTTAATGAACCAATCAGCCGTAAATTGTAAGTGATCACCAGGTAGCGAAACAAAACAGATTTTACCGGCGTTTTCCATTGCACGTAATCCGAGCCAGTCCTATGAAAATGACGAATCGATAATATATGCATTGAGCGACTATATTTGTTGAAATCAATCGCGCGAGTGCATACCTGTTGGTACAGCTTACTTTGCTGCAACTTCTGCACCTCTTCCGCTTGACCAGGTTTGTAAAATCCAAACCATTCTGTCTCTACTGGTTCGACCATTGTATCATTCTCGAATTTAACGAGAACTAAAGCTCGAAGCTTTTGAAGATTATTTTTATATTCCTGTTACAGTATAATCGATATAAATAATGAAAATATTAATTCTTTAATAATATAATTTTTATTTTACTATTTTTCTGCTTCAAAATTTTAATATCGTTCTGTATCACATGCAATATCTGGATATAAAGTTACGTCAGCATTGTTATTCATAATATAAAACATGTAGTATACAGGATGTCTCAATAACTATTACCACCTGAAATATCTTCTTGTCTATAAGGTGTAGAGAACAATTTATATAACAAAAATTACACGATGTAAAGAGGGCTATCGTATGGTGTATTAATTTTTGTTCAGGTGGAGGCGCTTCGGAGATTCCAAGGTCAATTTCGTTTTTTTAAATGTAATTCTCTGATTTTTTACACAATATGATTCCTCTAATTATTCTGCATATAAAAGTATTAAGATAGAGGTATCAAAAAACCAATAGTTTGAGATATTTTATATTTTATTGTGGCACATATTGACATAAAATGTTAAATAACTTGTAAATTATTAATTTTTTTATAATCGTACTTTAATATTTTTATGAACAGAATAATGAGATGAATCAATTGTTGGAAAGAAAACACATAGTTGCTTAATATTCTTGAGGCTTGAACCTTGCAGTTCACGAAATGTTGGCATTCCAAGAATGGATCTAAACACGGAGAAAACCCGCGAAACGCAAGATTGTCACATAGTTGTTTATTTAAAAAATTATGCATACATATTTTTTTAAAGCAACTCTGTTTTCTTTCCACCAATTGATTTATCTCATTATTCTGTTCATAAAAGTATTAAGGTACGATTATCAAAAAATTAATAGATTACGAGTTATTTAACATTTTATGTCAATGTGTCACAATAAAGTATAAAATGTTTCGTAAACGGTTAGTATTTTCATATCTCTACCTTAATACTTTTATATGCAGAATAATTAGAGGAATCATACTGTGTAAAAAAATTCATATAGTTCCATTTAAAAAAAAAAACGAAATTGACCTTGAAATCTCCGAAGCGCCTCCACCTGGACAAAAATTATTATCACCATATGATATCCCTCTTTACGCCGTGTAATTTTGGTTATATAAATTTTTTGCTGCACTTTATAGATTAGAAGATATTTCAGATGGTAATAGTTATTAAGACACCCTGTATTATATAAGTCATAAATTGATTGAAATTAGAAAATATATTTTCATATTATAGTTAATGTATATGATAACACTTACTATGTTATTAATATTTTCATTATTGATTTCGGCAAGGAAAAGATTTTTCCTTTGATATTCATCTTCTTGCAAAGGATCATGCCAATAAGAAGCTTGTATCAGCGAGTTTTGTACGTACCTAAGAAAAAGTTTAAAATAATGCATAATAACAAAGAGAGTTTCCATTAATACTGCTTAATGACTTCAAAGATCATGAGAGCAAGTACCACAAGTATGCACCGAGATGAAGAATGCGACGCATGTAATTGCACAATCGAGATGAGTCTGAGCACTTTGGTATTCCGAAAACACCTTGATGCTGACCGCCTAAAGATATTAAATTCAGCATTGGTGGATTAGGACATCTTTGAGCTACTGCTCTTCTAAAATAGAGAACGGCATTGTATACAAAAAATTGATATGGATGATAAATTAATAAAAGAAACAATTTACAGAAATTGTGCCCCTTGAGAAAAACCAATGGCATTATATCCATTTTGAAGTTTTGTGTTTTGCGATATTTGTTGACACACATGCTTTATTTGCTCATTAATATTTCCAAAATAGCCGTTCTCAACATCCTATAAGAAAAGATATTACGTCTTAATTCTGTACTAAAACAAATATAAAATGGAATAATAGCGTAGAATTTCAACGCAAATAATATACAATATGATGACCAAATAGTAGCATCAGTGTTGTGCAGTACCTAGGTACAAGTACGTAGATATTTATTACTACGTTTATACGGTTCGATTTATGTCGAAGTTATAACATCGATGTTATGAAACTGGGGAATCATAGCTATTCTTCTGAAGAATGGAATGATTGTGATTGACCAGTTTCATAACATTGATCTTATACAATACAAAATCTAGCGAAAACCGATTAAAAACGAGCGAATGACTCCACCGTTTATATTGTTTTTAATTAAATTAGAAATGTTTCAAATATTGTAATTTTATGCGACTGATGAAAACTATATAAAGTTGAAACTAGTTTTGCTCAATTTTATAATTTATACTATATTAAACATTTTTTAAATCAATATAACATCTTTAAATTATTCGCTCGTCTTTGGTCGACTTTCACTAGATTTCGTATTGTATTTCAACAACGAGCACGTTATTATTGTTTATTATTATTATAACTTCGGTGTAAATTGAGCCGTATAAACATAGTCACTGTAACTAGGTAAAAATTTATATATCTAGGAACTGTACCGAGGTCACAGACTTTAATTATAATAGAAGTGCCAAAAAAAGTACCTCAGCCACAGATTTCTATTACTACACTAGACTGCTAACTCATCCCTTTAATTATTGTCAAAATATATGCATCTACATGCGTAGAATAAGTACATTTGCATACTGCACATGCTTTCTATATACTTTTGAACTAATCGCAAAAACGCTAGACCTAATCTGTTGGCCTCTCTTTTCTGTACGTGACAGTCTTATTCTGCGCATCAACTACGCGCAGACAATACATGTATATAAGGAAAAGTGAGTTAGCAGTCTAGTGTAGTAATAGAAGTCTGTGGCTGAGATATTTTTTTTTGGTACCTGTACCTATATCTAGGTACTATTTCTTGTCTACCGGTACCTATATTTAGATACATTTTAGTTTTGGATGATACTTTCCTGCACTAAGACAACTTTGTAATTGCCACAAATTTATATTACATTTTGAAATCATTCTATTTAAAAGATCAATCTCGAATTTGCACCGATATTTTTGAGCCAATTTATTACATCAAGTCAAAGTGTTATATATGTTTTGTTATTTTGATTGCGATTCCTATATCGACTTTACTTGATTTAACATTAACAACTGTTACGTAAATTGTAACTAATGATGACCTAAAAGATTAAGGTCGAAATGTTTACGATTTTTTTATGTTATTATTCTAATAAATTTATTTACATACTCAGATATTGTGTTGGCTCTTTGCAGGCATTTTTTTACATTATTAATTTATTTAATTTGTACGAGCATTTCATAATATAACATTCAATTGTATTATTTTTTAATAACAAATAAATGGATTATTTGAATAAAACTAATTAATGGCTTTATAAGTATTACTTCATTTTATTTTATATGTCAAATTTACTTGCATGGAGTATTTATGTATGTAGCGGAGATCGGGGATAATTGATAGTTTTTCTTTAGGAATTTTTTCCACGTAACTAATAAATGGAACATAAACCGTAAAGTCATTTTGCAATAGCCACGTGCTTACACTACACAAAAATTATTTTTATAATTTAATAATATGACTTTCTAGTATTAATAAAATATATAAGATCATGCACCTTGTAACAACTAACCCCATGCGGGGTCGGATGTTACAGTTACTGGGATCACTTGTTATATATCCAGATTACAAAATATTATACATTTAATTAAATGAAATAAAAGAAATACATATATATATATATATATACTTCATTAATAATTTTAAAACGATATATAGGCATGTACTCTTAACAACGTTTATGATATACCTAAACAGTTTTCTCTTTTTTGTACATACGTCACTGAAATAAAAATATAAATTTATATAAAATTACTATTTGGTTGCCGCGCGGCTATTACGCTTACAGTAGGTTATGTTGAGGTTAGATGTGACGACGAAGAAGCAGACACCTGTAACGACACACCCCGTCATTAGTCCCGGGGTATCATATTTACGTATTTCAATTATTACTTATGCAAAAAATATATGTTAAGACGTTAATATAACTGTAAGATATTCCCTACTAAAAAAATCACGTCATAAAGTTACATAACGAA